TTAACCAATGCAGAAGAGCGTTTCTGTAAAGAAATAACAGGCCCAAGAAGTGAGGGGGTGGAGTGAATCAGCATATGTACTTCAGATGAGGTAGGTGCACTTTTGCTGATTTACACCAACTTGGAAGTGGACAAGGCCTTGCCTCAATTGCTTAGAGTACGTGATGTTTTTGGCTTGTGGGATTGTTCTGCTTTCCCCCTTTACTGTGTAGCCATGGCGTTCTTGATCTTAAGGGTATTTCCTCTCCTATTAAATGTTTAAGTAAGCAAAACATAAATCCTTTTAAAAATGCTGTATAACATTACTAGTGTTCAGCATGGTAGACGTGGCAGGAAACATTTGACTGCTCAGAGATAAACAGTAAGAAAGGTCTTATGTTTATGACTTCAAGAAAAAAGGGAGTCCTGTTATTTTGCACAACTGTCCTTTTAGAACCTATTCCAATATTAGTAAAGTAGTGCAAAAGAAATACTAGTACATCAACTGTCCCTGCTCTGTAAGTAAAGCAGGTGAATATCCTGTACAGATTAGGAGCCCAAACAAATGCATGGCGAGGGCTGGAATGGGCAAAGCTTGGCCAAATTACATTTTGAACTACGAAACCCATAATTTGCCATCCAGCATGGCCAGTGGCTGTAGGATTCTGTAAATTGTAATCCAAATAACTAACTTTTCCCAGGCCCCAGAGATGGAACCCCAGAGATGGGGAGAACTCCCAAAATTTTCATCAAAATATGCGTTTCGCAAAAGCCAAAGACATGTTGAGCTATGCATGTACTGCTGGAGATGCAATAAAGGATAAAACCAAGTTCACATTTACAGTCAGTAACACGTCAGAAAAAATGTAATGTTGGCAAGAAGGAAAGGCAACAAGGGCCAAAGAACAATAAACAACAAGGTAGAAGGAGAGGAAAGGAGAAAAAGGGTGGTTTTAAAAGGGTAATTGTAAATGAAAACTGGGTTTAGGGGGGACAAAGGGAAACAATGAGCAAACAGATGAGAATGGAAGGAGGAGGAGGACTGTGAGAAGAGGATCTTTTATTTATTTACTATGGTATGGATGGCTGGCAGAGATGCACCATGAAGCAATACAGGAAAAAGGAAACAGACAGCTGTCTCCTAAGTCCAGTTGTACACTTTTAAAGCCAGTGTCACGTGGATGGCCAGCCCTCCTTCCCATGGCAGATGGGCAACCCTAACATAGGCAACCTGAAGGATGTTTATAGCCCAATCTCCCTTATGCTGAAACTGCCAGAGAGCAATTGAAGGCACTCCTCTTCTAAAATAGTTTTTTGGGGAGGGAGATAATGCTATGTAAGGAGTAGCACAACTAATGGTTGGTGTGGGTTTTTCGGGCTCTTTGGCTGTGTTCTGAAGGTTCTTCCTAACGTTTTGCCAGTCTCTGTGGCCGGCATTTTCAGAGGACAGCACTCTGCTCTGGTGCAGTTTGTTTGGGAGTTGAGGATTTATGGCTGTGAGATCAGCTTTTGTCCTTTTCAGGAGATGGGTGATTATGGTGATCAGGGTGTTTTTGTTGTGGGTGTATTGTTGTGATAAGGAGGAGAGCTTATCTGTCACTGTGATTGATGGGTGTTGTTAGCTGGTCTTTTGTGTGTAGTGATCACCGGTCCTTGTGGCTGGGTAGAATTTGTTGAACTTTTGCACGCTGTATTTTTCAGTGCTGGGAGCCAAGTTTTGTTGAGTTTCAAACTTTCTTCTTTTTTGTTGAAGTCCTGCTGATGTTTGTGGATTTCAATGGCTTCCCTGTGCAGTCTAACGTAATGATTGCTGGTGTTGTCCAAAAGTAGCACAACTCTTTCTTTGACCAGGTCACCATGTTTATCACTTTGACAAGTTACTCTTAGAACAATAGGTCTGATGTTCAACTGGGCAGTTTCTTTCTATATCCGTGGTTCCCATTAAGCTGTTCATGACATTCAGGAAAAATTGTATAATTGTGCTTTACTTACCACAAATTTGCCAGGTTGGAAAACTAACTTCTCCAAGCTTTGTTGTGTATTTGGAGGTAGTTACACCCAGTGACCTAATCACAGATACCCTTGTCCATGACAACTCAGCTGTCCCTGTTGTACATCAACCTTGTCACATACTTGTCAGCTGTTTGTCTCCTCCAGTTCCATTAGCCTTCAAACGCAACTTAGAATTCCTTGAATGTGGACTATAACACGCATGTGTCCTTTATAGTGCCTAGTGCATTAGCTGTATTAAATGCCAGCCATTAGAATCAGATACCAAAGGGTAAATCTGGAGTCTACTTAGTATCAACCCAGCCAGGATAAAAAGGTCTTTTCATAACAGCTACAATACCAGGATCCTCTGTTCTGCATCTCTATCTGAAAACAAAAGGCCATGAAAGCAATCAGCTTGTACACAAACATCATTCAAGTACAGAACGTTACAAAGACCATGTGACTTTGGAGACTTGAGCAAGCAAAGGGCAGTGCAGATGATGGCACCCATCCAGCAACTGCCTGCAACAGGCTCTGCAGTTGGAGACGGAAAAATGCACACAAGAACAAGTACGGAAAGGGGGTGGGGGAGGAGGTCACTTTTATAGGTGGAATAGAATTAAACATCAGTTTCTCATCAGTCACAGTAAGGAAAGGGTGCAGGCCTGCATTTCAAACAACACAAAATCCAGGACAGTCTGGAACAAAATGTTTTCATCAAACCTGTTCTTATTAGACAACGGAACTTGCTCATAAAAAAAATCAGCAACCCTGTTTTTCGGCACCAAGGGGTGCATCTGGTACCAGCTGGCGAGTAGCATAGATTTGTATGCTCATGTCTATGTGTGTTGTATTCATGCATGCACATGTCTTCGTGTGTCGTGCTGATGCATGTATGCACATATACATGCACACCACCTGCAAATAGTCACGTCCTCCTCCTCAATCCCTAGCAACATATGTGTTTAACTTCATTCTTAATGACTTGCCTGATTTTATATTATCAGGAATCTGCCTTTGTTAGTGCCAGCAGTGGGCTACAGTGCTATCAAAGCAGTACTTTGGGGTATCCAGATTCTTGTTCACCAGAATTAAATGGAGGACTCTCAAATGCAGCAGCAAAAGCTTATCACTTTTTTGTTAAGAGAATTATTATACATTACCACCCAAATTAGTGGAGCAGCTATAAAACCATTACATCCAGCATCTACAATTATATAGTTGTCCAACTATCAGTAGAGAAGATGCTCATATCTCAAGAGTATTAAAATTTGTTATGTGCCATGAAGTTGACCCATCAAATGAAGATGAGCCATCAAAACACTGAATTGGAATTCAGCCCACAAAGCTGCACACTCTACTGAGGGAAGTGACGTAGATCTAGGAGCACAGAATAGGCTAACTTATAGTCATATCAGATCAGAGTTAGCACACGATTAAAAGACAAAAACACAGAGCTCTAGCCACATAGTGGTCTCCCAGGATTGGAGGGAATAGATGGGAGATTTCTGTCATGAAAGGTAGTTGTTCCATTCTGCCTAATGGTAGGGCTTTGGCCTATCAATACAACTGAGAAATCCACTCCATGAACATTTCCACAACATTCTTACAGGATGTTTGTGTGAGAACTGCAGCCAAATATGCACTTTGAATGTGTATAAAACATACTCAGTGGTGCTGAATTTTGTATCCTCTCTCTCTCTCTCTTTCTCTCTCATGTGTGTATAGTTAGAATAAGTGCAGCAATGTTATATTTAAAATAATTGGGGTCTGGACAGACAAACAGATGGCCAGGTGGGATTGGACAATTTGCAATTTCTTGATTTTTCAGAAGTGAGCACTTGCAGATTGTTGCCCTAAACTCACTTCCTGCTAGTAATCCCTCTCTTCTTAAAGGAAGTAGATTGTTTTTTTGCTGTCCCTCATCTGCCGAGGAAGATGAGCTGTGAGGGTACTTCTGTGTCAGGCTTCAGCATACTTGTATACACAGAAGCCAGTTCTAGGGGATTTGGTATTCATGTCTAAGAGCGTGATCAGGCAGGCAAAGTTTCCCTACCAAATGAGCATGGTTGATCATAGTTCCTGCAAAAAAGAACCAGAGATACTATGGCACTGAAAGACCCATGTTTTTCAAAATCAGCTACAGTACTTAAGAAAGAAATTGTTTTAAATTTTTACAGATGTATTTTCCGTTCATAGCTTTCCCCCTCCATTTTTAAACTCATTTTAAGAGATAACTGAAGTATTTTGGCTAGGAGCAGCCGATGCTGAAATGAGCTCTTCAGAGGGGCGGGCACTGTAATGCTAAACGCCATCCTCCGGGGGGGGGCAGAATCCTGGCACTCTTGCATCCTCTGGAAAATGTGAAGAAATTACTTCCACAATCTCTGCTGAACCAGGTACTTTTACCAGAGCAATTCTTCATCAGGAAAAGCCCTGGACCCTGTCCCATTTTACCTTGAATGGATTTCAACAGGTGTATGATGAAATTTAACCAAAGTATGCAGTAGAAAAATCGTGACCATAATTCTTCAAATGCAGCGAAGAGTTCATATATTTTTGATTTTATAAAAATGTACTGATAGTGGAAAAACTACCTGCAATCCTGTAACTATTTCCTGCACAGGCATGAATCGGTTATTAATGTAGAAACACTGACTCCAGATGCAATCACACAGCTTCTATTGCTGGTAAAGGCGGAATTCAAAGATAAATTGCTTCCAAAGCTAGCAGATATATTGCCATGCAATGTGAAACTGCTGTGGGATTCCCTCCAATAATAAGAGCCACAGCCATCAAAAGGTAAAATAAATGTCAGTGTGTCACTCAGACCTGAATCTTTCATAATGCTATGTTTGTCTATGAAAGCTTTTTAATGCTGATATGTTAGTGTACTTTGGAATACTGCCAAATTTAATATCAAATGCAAAATGAGAGAGGGCTTTTAATTCAGGCAATGAGTGACAGTTTTTTTTTTTATTTACTACTATGGAATTTTATTTGCTTTGAGCAGGTTAGAAACCTCTTCTTTCCATCTTCAACCCAGTGCTCTGTTCCATTCACAAAGTTCCCCCTCATGTTGGTGTAGCACTTTTAAGATCTATGGGGCGATGTGCTAACTTGGATATCCGTTAATGAGCCCTGCAAACATAATTTCACCAAATGAGTCCTTTCTTATTCACAGTTATATAACACACAACACGAACAATTATAACAACAAAATGCTACAATTTGTGCACCCAAGTCCTAGGCAACAGCATTAATATAGAGGGTGCTTGTAGAATTGCCAAGTTCAAGTGTACCTTTAAATTCAAATTCAGGTAAAAATCCAAGACATCTTCCTCACCTGGGTTAGATGTCCAGCATAGAGAAGAATCAGCTGCACACGTGGAATCTTCAAAACCCTTAAAACAAAACATTGATTCAATTATATGTGATCCATTAATTCACTATATAGATTCACCCCTCCAACATGAACATATAGGAGTTATACCTAGACCAAGCTGGTAAAGACCTTAGCAGTTTAAGCAGGAACAACAGCTCTGGCTTTTTTGGTTCTCTGCTCTTTCTGATTCAAATCTTTTACTCACAATCATGCTCTTTCTTAGTCCCACCCCTTGAGCTGAACCAATATTTTATATGGGTCACACTAGTTGGTTGGTTGGTTTTCTCTTTCTGCCCCAGGACCTATAGTCTAGTACTCAGCACAGTACTCATGTAGAAATGAAGTTTCCTAGTTAGAAGTTTGGGGATATTGATTTCACAATTACATATCTCCAATCGTTGAAGAGTTAAAAGAACAGTCTTTTCAGACAGTACAGTCTGTAAGATTTCTTCTTCAACTCACTTTTGTTGCCAGCGGTTTAGACATTAATGGCTGTGTTGCATTATTTTGAGGGGACAGCACCTTTACACTGTTATACAAGTTGTATACTCGCTGCTTTACATTGTAGCCAAGTATCATTTCTTCAGTGTTGTCACATGAAAAGATATGCTAATATATGTATGAAATGCGAGAGGGTGTACTCACTTCTGTGATATACTGTAACTATTTTAGTTCATATCAAGAGGGAAACGAGCTCTCGCATAGTTACTGTCTACATGACAGTTTCAACAGACCACTAAATGCCTAAGATCAGGCACCACAAAAAGTTAATTATCACCAGGTGAACCAATTTCAAGTCATTTATTTAAGTGGGAAAACCAGTAGTATCTGTGCAGCAGTGTCTTCATCTTTCAACAGTTTCTGAGACCTTTCAGAATAAAACAAATTAAAAAAATATTTATAAGATTATATCACTTCATGTTTAAAATAGCTTTCTTCTCTGCCTTCAGAAATGGGTCTTCCTTGAGGTTTTGAAACATGGAAATCATTGAAGTATATTTCATTCACAGTGCAGACCTATACATTTCTACTTATAAGAAACTCCCATTGTATTCAGTGGGGGCTAAAATCTGAGCTCTAATCCTATACCCACTTACCTAACAATGAGCCCCTCTGAACTAGAATGTTCCTCTAAGTAGACATAGATGGAATTACTATGTATTAATTTTTTTTAATGACTTGTAATCTATGTCATCAGTAGGGCTATAAGCCCTATGCCATATATCTATTACAAATTAATGCTCTCTGAACTTTTTATACTTTAACGTCCTAGTCCTCTGCAATTTTACTTAGAAGGAAGTGTAATTTGGCTCAAAGGTTACAACTAACGACAGGAAAAAAAAAACTTAATTTAAAGATTGTTGAGGGGTGGAAAACTGCTATGAGAGTCATACCATCTGTAATGTATAAATTGCCTTTTTTTAAAAACTGCAGGGTTAACTCCTAGGCAAGTTTGCAAGAGCTACAATCTAAACCATGTGTACTTGAAGCAAAGTTCCATTGAACAAAATGTGAGAGTCGCTTTTTAATACGGGCATTTAGAATCCTTGTGATTCCAGGATTTGAGGAGTTAGAAGTACACTTAACACATTAAAAAAAACAGAAAGAAAAGCTCTCCAAAAGAGAGATTTGGAGTGTTGTGGAGGTTTTTTCCCCTCTCTTCCCCATGCTTCCCTCGCGCTAAAGCTTTAAGGAGAAGCAAGCAAAACAAGTCTCTGATTTCTCATTTTTCCTTTCTATTTTAAGAAATCACCTCTGGCATAAATTACAAAGCTTTGCTGTACTCAAAGACAGGCTCTTCTATAAGATCAGTAAAGCTGAGAACTGACTTTAGTTGCTGTAAGAATTTTCTTTTCCTCTGGCTGAGAAGTAAAATTCATAATAGTGAGGTGAGTGAGATCCCTCCCTTATATACACAACAGTTTTAGGGCCTGTCTAGATGGGCATATAGATTGATATATGGATCACTGGTACGGTACGGTTCAAACCAAATGATGGCATCCACCTGAGTTTCTGATTAGACTGATTCATCCTGCCCCTATCACGCAACTTTCTGGTATAATTCAGTGTGATTCTAATTCTTCCACTGTGCAGACTGTTATTTTGCACCCAAATGGAGCTGTGGATATTGTTATCTGAGGTGACAACCCTGTAATCTAATAGGTGGGTTGTGGCATTAAAAGGATGGATGGATTAAACCCCTGCCTCTATTTTTGTTTTATTTTTTAAAAAATATTTCCTAACCAACATAGCGCAATTTTAATATCACGCTAGGTGGATGCCTTGCTCCTTCAATATGTCACTTCTTTGTTGTTGTTTAGTCGTTTAGTCATGTCCGACTCTTTGTGACCCCCGTGGACAAGAGCACACCAGGCCCTCTTGTCTTCCACTGCCTCCTGGAGTTCTTCTTTAATTAACAACAAGATGCCACTGTGACCGACTGAATGATAGTTGCGAGAAAAGGCAGGGAAGGGGTCTCTTTTGACTCCATGGGCTCTATCCTCCACAAGGCAGCAGAACCGGCCCTCGCTGAGGAGAAAGGACAGAAAAGGGGGTTTCCCAACATTTCCCCCTCATGCCAGTACTGCTGCCATGAGCATGCCCAGTCATCGTTGTCTTCTACTGTTGCCTCCTTACCTGTAAGCTGAGTAAAATTACACACAAGTAAACCAGCAATCCAAAGACATGCCTGGACCCTTCTCAGAGAAAAATAAACATCTCCAGTGTGCATGGAAGGATCTCTCAAGCAAGAGATAAAATAGATGATACTGAACCTTTTAAGGGTGAACCAGATCACTCTGGATAATTAGATGACTAAGCCCAGGAACAGACATTATCAGAGCCAAAAGCTTGTTAGCAGTGGAGAAAGGTGACTGAGCAGTCCCTTGAGTTTGCAAGACTTCAAAGGAAACTCATACATTAGTCCTGAAGATCAATCACCAAGCATACCACGCTAATTTGGAAATGTGTGTGTGTGTGTGTGTGTGTGTGTGTGTGTGTGTGTGTGTGTGTGTGAGAGAGAGAGAGAGAGAGAGAGAGAGAGAGACACTCCCACCCTCTCTCTCTCTCTCTCTCTCTCTCTCTCTCTCTCACTCTCACACACACACACACACACACACACACACACCAGATTTTCATTACACTTTGGATGTACAATTTAACTTGGAGTTGAATACTGTACGTTTCTCTAGCACAAGCTAGGGACTGTGAAACTTAGATGCTTTGATTAGTTACAGATTTTCATTACACCTTGGATGTACAATTTAACTTGGAGTTAAACACTGTACGTTTCTCTAGCACAAGCTAGGGAAATATTTGGCATACAAAATTCCCAGGTTCTTCCTCAGCCCATGGTTTTTAGAAAGTGAAATTGACAATGACCTTTGACCAAGACCCTGGAGCTCAGTTGCATATCAGAATTATCCCTGCTAGATGGACAAATGACAAAGGAAACTGGGAAAGTTATTTTTATAAAGTAATGTGTAAAAACCATCCATTGTCATCACATCCCACAAAGTTGAAGATGGAAGTTGTTATGTTACTCTCTGGGCACTTGTTGCTTTTTTTATTATGTCCTGTTACTTTTCGGAAGCTGTTAGGATTGATGAGAAAACAGCCAAAAAAAAACAACACTTTGTGTTCTTTAAGGGTAACTTCTGAAAGTAACAAGAAAATGCCGCTCATGTTACAACAGTAGTGTTGATCCTGCTTGTTGCCTTCCTTTTGAAATGTAACTTTGTTATATTATTGCCCTCAAAAGTAAATAGTTTCAAGTTACTAAAATAACTTATAAGTCATAACTTCTGTGCTTTGGTAAAATTAGTCATATGATGAGTTTTCCATTTCTGAGGGTACTTTTAGACAAGGTGCTCCTAGTCAAAAGGCATTATGCAAGTATTTCATCTTTCCCTCTAACAGCTTTTTTTTTTGGTGGTGTGTGGAGGAATGTTGAGGAAATGTCGAGCTGCAATAAGAAGGTGACGTGGTCTAGATCAGTGGTTCTTAACGTTGGGTTATTCCGGTGTTTTTGGACTGCAACTCCCAGAAGCCTTCACCACCAGCTGTGCTGGCTGGGGTTTCTGGGAGTTGTAGTTTAAAAACACCTGAGTAACCCAAGGTTAAGAACCACTGGTCTAGATACCCTTTCCCCCATAAAACAAACAAACAAATTTATTGTCATTGTAAGTCTATACATAGTGTACACATACAACAAAATTCACATAGACACCCAGAGACCAGACCCACATGCACACACATAAGAAATCCCCAAACTGTGTGAATGCGTTCTTGCTGCCTCTTGCTACAGACCTTTCTGTATCTAGTTAATATTTGCCACAGAACAGTGAGAAACGGTTATGACTGAACCATTTATGACCTTGTGTGAGGGTTTGGTTTGAAGTTCAAGGTGTATCCCCTTCTCTGGGATTCCCACGTCTCCAAACACAGACACAGATCTCGGCTGTAACGTTCAACATTTATTTTAAAACTGGGTGTATTCCCTTCTCTGGGATTCCCACATCTCCAAACACAGACATAGAATTCAGCTGTAACGTTCAACATTTATTTTAAAACTGTCAATAAAACTGTTTATATCAATTTCAACATAAATGTTCTCCTTTCCTTCCAACTGGGTTGGAAAGGGTTTCCATTCATCCTTAACAAACTGGTTTCCAAATCTCAAGTTCCAAAGGCCTGGTTGTTCAGCCGGTTGCCAATCCTTTATTGTTGTCCCTGTCAATATTGGTAACAGGGTTATGGACACATCTCCCAAATATTCTTCCCATTTTGTCCTCTTCCTGGATTCCATGAATTCCCAGGTTCCCCCGACCCTTGCCTCCTCCTCATCTCCCACGCTTGCCATTCTGTTCTGTCGTTCCTTTCTTGCTCTACTCTGTCTTTCTCCACTCTCAATTTCCATCTCCACTCTCTCTGTCTCTCCCCAATACAAGGGCTTTGGGGGAATCACCACTTTCCGCCTGTGATCAGCCTCCTCTCTTGGGACTCTCAGTCGCTCCCACCTGTGATCCATGGATTCTCCAGCCAGATCCATTCCCCCCCCCCCCGGAGGTAGGTTTTCTTCCTTCTCTACCTCCTCACCACTGTTGTTTCCGTCTCTCCTTTCCCTTTCTACCCCTTTTCTATCTTTGATTGGTTTCTCTCCCTCTCCTCCTTTCCGACCTTTTCTAACTGGGGA